ATATATATATATATATATATATATATATATATATATATATATATATATATATATATATATATATATATATATGTGTGTGTGTGTGTATTTTAGTTCCAAAAGAGATATGGCGACTGACAACACAGAACAGATTGTTTCACAGCCGAATGACCTCGACACACAGCAGTCCCAAAGCACACAGCAGTCCGAAACTCCTCAATTGGCTCAAACATTAGTTGATCTAAATCAAACTATGAGCCACATGGCAATGATGCTGGGCGACTTATGGCAAAAGTCTCAGGACACAAATGTGCCACTTCAACAACCAGACGTTGAAGAATCCCAGCGCAGACGACGAGGAAAAAACGGCGCTGAAAAACGTCGTTCTTGAGGTCGTCCACATCTTCAGAAGCCAGCTCGGATTCTGGAAATGATATTCGGGGTGGTAAACGCCGAAAGCGAAGGTCACATAGTAAAACCCGGCTTGAAAATAGGGGCGAAATGACCGATTATGAGCAGGATAAAGTGAGCGTACATGTGCAAGACGATGACGATAATGTATTGGTTTTACTTCAAGATGGCGCCACAAATGACAAAACATATTCAACCGATGAAGCCCTTACGAATTTAGGGAAAATCCTAGACGATGTTGAAGCTACCGGCCATGATATTACCCCTAAACTGGCTACTATAGCGGAAAACCGGTGGAATAAAAAACTAGCGCCTGAAAAGCTGATATTAATTCAAGAAAACCCGCCAATTGCACAACAATATGCTCACTAACTGTTAACCCGGAAATCTGGGCAAAACTGCCGCATTATCAACAACGGGCGGATTTAAATGTCTCGAAACTACCAGAATCGGTTCGGAAAGCTGCCCTTATATCTCTGCAAACACCTCATTCTTTGACTAATAGAAAGTCTAACGAGCTAGATGAAAAACAGCTTTTAACAAAGCAAGTTGATTCATTAGCTTTATTGGGCCACATAAGTTATGTGTTGGCGTGTCTTCGCAGATACAAAATAAAATCCGTTTTGAAACCAGAATATGCTTCAATATGTGTTGATGATGGCACGCAAAGAAAATATATGTTTGGCGATGATTTACCCAAACGATTAAAAGACGCCAAAGAGGCGAGCAATGTGGGGCTAGCTGTGAATACGAGCAATTCAAGAACCAACAACTATCGGGGGCCAAAAAGCTATGACCAGCGAAATTGGCGCCAAACACGTGGGGGGCATAATTACCATGGTGGCAGTTCACGGTCGGATTTTCCCAGCGAGGAAAATAGAACTACAAGGGGAAAATGGTGCAAAATACCAACCACCTCGCAAGAAATAATCGCTCACTTAAAGACAATAAATTCATCTGTTTCTCCAGTAAGTAAATGGAAAATTTCTATTCCTATTTTAAAGGATTATTTAAAACAATTATGTGCCAGTTCAAAAGCTGGTCGTATCTCAATTCATTTTTCTGCCTGGATAAGCATAACATCAGATAAAGAGATCTTATCTGATACTCAGGGCATGACCATTGAATTATCAGAAATGCCAGCCCAACATCCCTTTGTCCAAACAAAATTTAACAGTGCAGAAACTGAGATCATTGAGACAGAAATCAACAAAATGTTGGGAAAAGAAATTATAGAACAAGTCGAACGTACAAAAGATGAAATTATCTCAAACATTTTTACAAGACCTAAAAAGGATGGGACTCATAGAGTGATCATTTATCTAAAAGATTTCAATAAACATGTATCTTACTATCATTTTAAAATGGATTAATTAAACACTATAGTCAAATTAGTCGATAACGATTGTTTTGGGGCCTCAATCTAAAAGATGCCTACGTTTCTATACCTATTCGGGAAAGAGACAGAAAATATTTGAGATTTTATTGGAATAATAAACTTTACCAGTTTAGTTGCCTACCAAATGGTTGTCGAGCGGCTCTATAAAATTTACTAAGATCCTTAAACCTGCCTTGTCATCATTACACATCAAAGGACACATTGTTTCCAGTCATTTAGATGATTTCTATTTACAGGGCAAAACCCCTAAGGAATGTTGCTCTATTTTAATAGATACAGTTACCCTTTTTACACAACTGGGCCTGTTAGTCTATCCTGAAATATGTATTTTCATCCCCTCACAAGAAAGAGTGATTTTGGGGTTTATAATAAACTCAGTAGAAATGACTGTCAAACTGACACCAGAGAAAGCACTAGCCCTAAAGTCAGATTGTGATTTGTTTCTTAAAAATGTCCTGGTAATTTTGTAATTCGAGAAGTTGCTCAAATTATTGGGAAAATAGTATCAAGTTTTCCTGGGGTCCTTCACGGACCTCTTCACTCTCGACATTTAGAAAGGGACAAAACCTCAACTTTAGCTAAGAATAAGGGTAATTTTGATGCTAAAATGACTCTCTCTAAAGAAAGTATATTAGAGTTAAAATAGTGGTCAAACAAAGTAATAGATGCATTTAAACCCATTTCACATGGGGAACCTTCCCTAGTTATTACAACAGATGCTTCCCTGCAATGTTGGGGTGCTGAATGTCAGAGTATAGCCTCTGGTGGATTGTGGTCATATCTTGAGGCAAACGAACACATAAACTATTTAGGATTATTAGCTACCTTTTTGGGCTTGGAAACGTTTGCAAAAACAAGACGTAACCTGCATACAGTGTATAAGGCATTCTCCCATATGTAATATTTTAGCCCATCAGGTCTGGAGTTGGTGTATTGAGAGGCAAATATGGATAAGTGCTGCCCATTTACCAAGGCGAGATAATTTTATTGCGGATTTTGAATCAAAAATAAATGAAAAGGCATCAGAATGGATGCTAGATAAACTACGTTTAGCCAAAGCATTAAAAGACTTAGATTACTCACGAAGTATTGACCTATTTGCCTCAAGAATTAATAAACAATTTGATACATATGTTTTATACAGACCAGACCCACAGGCGTCAGCAGTATAGATGCATTTACTCTAACATGAAGCTCACTCATGTTTTATGCTTTTCCTCCCTTCAGTCTTATAGGGACTGTTTTAAGCAAGATCAAGAAAGAAAAAGCAAGGGGGGTGGTTGTTCTACCAAATTGGCCAACACAACCTTGGTATGCGAAAGCCCTTTCCATGGGGGAAAAACCACCCATACATTTACAAGCGTCAAAAGACTGTTGATACTTCCCAGTCATCCAAACGAGACACATCCATTTTTCAAAAAACTGTCAATGATGATTTGTCTCTTATCCTGGAGAGATTAGAGCTCCAAGATCTGTCAGAGTCCAAGAAAGAAATCATAATGGCTTCTTGGCGTAAAGGCACTAAGAAGCAATATAAATCATATCTTTTACGATGGGAGGAATATTGTAATCGAGAAAATGTTGCACCTCACAATCCTGGGAAAGCATATGCTATCGAATTTCTTAGGGAACTGTATGATTCAGGTGTAGGATATAGTGCTATAAACACAGCTCGATCAGCACTATCGTCAGTGATAATACCCACGGCAGGGATTCCCTTTGGGAAGGACCCTTTAGTTTGCCGGTTACTAAAAGGGGTATTTGAACTGAATTCTTTCCTCCCAAAATACGCTGAAATTTGGGATGTAAATAAAGTTATTTTGTTACCTACAACAGTTTCTGAAGTCAGTTTAAAAGATCTAACAATGAATCTTGCCACTTTATTGTGTTTACTAAAGGAACAAATGTGTCAAACAATACACAAGATAGATATGAACTTCGTCCAATTGGAAACGGACAAATGCACTATTACGATTAGAGAAGTTTTAAAACATACTAAGGCTGGTAAACACCGAGTGCCTTTGGAACTTCGTTCGTACCCAAGGGACAAAAGAGTTTGTGTCTGAGAGTACCTTAAAGAATATATCAAACGAACTACTGTTCTCAGAGGTGAACAATCAAAACTATTTGTGAGTTTCGTAAAGCCCGATAAAGCGGGAACCAAAGACACCATTGCCAGATGAGTTAAATCAATACTACAGCAATCGGAAATTGATACAGATAAATTCACGTGTCACAGCACTCGAGCAGCATCAACTTCGTGTGTCAAGGCATCAGGACTTAATTAAAAAAAATAATGCAATCTGCTGGCTGGTCCAATTCCTCTACTTTTGAGAAGTTTTGTGATAAACATATTGAAACTGAAAATTTTGGTTCCACAATTCTCAACACAGCAGATGTTGAAACAGTAACAACAGTTTAAGTAGTTATAATGTAGTTGGGTTACTAAAACAAATACAATTTTGTTTATTCTTTCATGTGTTGGAGTGGGTTCTTCACGGTCGCAGGACTTTGAAATCTCATGTGACTCCGTAGTGACGTGACTGATAACGTAGTAGAATTCTAAAATTAAACGAGACTTACCTGTAAGTTGAAGTTTGATTGGGATTCTACTAGTCATCAGTCAGGAACAAAGGAGTCACATGCCCAGGCACTCGGCCCTTCCCTCCCGTGACTCTTCGTTCCTCATTCCTGCAACCGTTCATGACGTTAAAAACTGATCAGCGAAGCATGCAGGCGCTTCTCATGTGACTCCTTCGTTCCTGACTGATGACTAGTAGAATCCCAATCAAACTTCAACTTACAGGTAAGTCTCGTTTAATTTTAGAACTATATGTTAAACAAAACCTAAAAACTATTGCCAGACCAGATATCAAACTGTCATTAGATGGTGTGGAATATTGTTGGGTGGAGATTGAATCCAACAGTACTTGTAGTATCAATAAGAATATCATAATAGGCTGTATTTACAGGCATCCACGAATACTCAGGCTTATGTAGACCATCTTGATGAGCTGCTAAAGCATGACTTTAATCAGCTTAAACATCAAGTTATAATATTAGGCGATATCAATATTGAATTTCTACGTTATTTTATCCGTCAATCCACAGAAAGATATTTAGATATGTTATATACAAATAACTATATTCCTATTATATTTTGCTGAGCCTACCAGAATAACTGACCACACTAAAACGCTAACCGATAATATTTATATCAACAAGTCTATATATCAAGTTAAATCTATAGAACTATATCAGATCATCTACCTGTATTTAGTATTACCAACGTACCTTGCAAGAGATTGAATGAAAAGCGGTTCTACCGTGTTTACAAGTCTTTTAACAAACATGAATATGTTCGTGATCTATTACAAATTGACTGGCAGGTGAAACTTCGAGAATTAGGCAATAATCTGCACCAGACCGCAAGGAATATAATTGATACTTTGGAAGAAGTAACTCGAAAGCATGCTTGCACCTATAAAGAAATCCCTCGTAGTAAGTTAAAACAATTTTTTAAGCCATGGATTAGTAATGGCATTCTAAAATCAATTAAAGTTAAACAGCGAACATACCGCTCAAATTTTTTTTTAGTAACATCGTAAGGAAAGTTGTGCAGTATAAACAATAATGCCAATAGATTAAATAAAATTAAAGCTATAAGTAAAACTAAGTATTATAATAACCAGTTTGAAAAATATTAAACCAGCCTAATAGCAACATGGAAGCTTATTGGCAATCTAATTAGACGTCAGCCGAAAGGGCAGTTATCTCCTTCGCGCTCAATAACAAATTGAAATATATACACCGATAAACATGATATAGATAATCAATTCAATCAACACTCTGTTAATGTCGGCGCTAATTTGGCGAACAAGTTAAATAAGTCGCGTATCAATGCAAAAGCATTCATAATTCACCATAAATCATAACTCATAATGTCAACTGTGACTGAATCGCAAGTACGACAATAACTAGAAAATACATGCATGCAGAAACCCTCGCCTTGCTGACAAAACCATGGTATTTTGCGAACATGAAGTATCTAAAGTAGTTGTCATGGTAACACGATAATTTTTTAAGAATATTCTTACAAATGAAAAATTGCCTAAAAATATCACTTTTAATTACAAAATTATCAATTTCCCAACACTTATATGTTAGGTATGTTATTATACGTAATATAAGCTTCAATTTAAGGTAAAATTCAACCACAAACGCTTCGCAAAACATTTTAAAGTGTTCTTTATACTACTAAACTTTGAGTTTGCAATAAAATGATTTCAAATTCTCGCATGCAAATAACTTCCTTTTTTATTTAAAAAAATAAATATAATAAAAAAGGAAATCAATATTAAAGATACACTGAAATTATATGCTGTCTTGTTTTATAGTTGTTTCATATACGCAAAGGCCATCGGGTTTTAAAGCAATTATAAAATCAATATTTAAAACAAACTTACCTTCGTTAACGTCGGCTCCCTTCTTTTAGCCGATTCTTTCGCCCTTTCTTTCTGAGAAATCTTACAAAAATGCGCGCAAAAATGAAATATATTTGCAAGAAATTTATCAATCATCAAATCAAGAAATGTTTGCTATTTCGTATTTTCGCTGTCGCCATGCAGTCGTTATAATGCAAATTTTAAATTGGACCAACCACTGTCCGCTATTCATGACAGTCCGCCATATATTTGAGATCAGTGAGGATGACCACCCACCGAAACTTCGTTGGCGAGCCACGCCCGCGATCATTGATGAACTTTAGACTTCGCTAATGCTTTCGTTTCCCCGGGTGCAAATAGCCGGGGGGAATTAGTACCCTCGCGGATTATTATTTCTCTCACTGGATGTAAATATGAATTCCATAAGCATCCCAAATGCCATTATTAAAATATCATCATTTATGATAGCTCCAATTTTCACTTCTATTTATAGTGAATCAATTAATACTGGCGTTTTCCCAAATGTTTTAAAAATTTCGCGTATTATACCAGTTTACAAGAACGGCAACTGATCCAAACAATTTTCGACCACTATCGAAACTGTCGCCATGTGCATGAAACTATGTGCAAAGGTGCTAGAACGTTTAATATACAACCAGCTTGAATATTTTCTTACTAAAAACAAAATAATTTTTGACTATCAATTTGGATTTAGAAAAGGGTACTCCACAGAGCAAGCTATTCTGGAAATCACAGATATACTAAAGTCAGAAATTGATAAAAAAAGAATAACCTGTGGTTTGTTTTTAGACTTCTCTAAAGCATTTTAATACAGTCGATTATAAACTTTTGTTGGCGAAGCTATAGAAATATGGCATTCGTGGTACTCCTTTGCATTGTTCAGTAATTATTTAAACAACATACAACAATTATTATGTCAAAATAGGAAACACTGAATCTGATTACTTTACAATGACTTGTGGAGTTCCTCAGGGATCGCCTCTTGGGCCACTTCCTTTTATACTATACATAAATGATATGCCAAACTGTTCAAACAGACTTTCACTTATGAAGTTTTGAATTAAAAAGCTAAGCTGCCTATAATATTTTCTAACAGTCCTGCATCATGACGACACTCATAAAATACCAGATTTACTGCACAATGTAACTTTTCTAGACGAAAAGCGCGAACTAATTATGGAACTCAAACATTTTTATTTACTTCATCTAAAGTATGGGGACTGGGAGACCGTCGATAATAAAATTAAACAATCAAAATCAATTTCTTTATTTAAGAAGACATATAGTCAATCTTTGCTCATTTCACAAACAATGGACTATTTATCTGTCTAATTACCTACAGTCCTAATTTTAAATAGTAATAAACGTAGGCAGTGACGAACACCAACTCGAAAGCATGCAGCTACTTTGGCCACTGCGCACGATCAAAACCTTTATATTGGAAAAATTTTATTTAAACAGGGTATATGGCCCTTTCAGCACGAAGGCTGATATCGATAGGGGCCCTGCTATTAATTTCTCCTTAGTATTTCAACTTGTAACTCTTGCAATTTAATATATGTTTGTAAACGTGTAATTAATTAAATTGAAATTGAAAAATTGAAAATGAGACTGACGCACAACAATATATGCACGATTTTATAATGTAGGATACGATCTTATACTGAATTACGATTTTAAAACACGATTTTATACTAAACCTAAAACAGTAGATGTGGTATGATTTGCATAAGGAACTGGAAGAAGGTTTAAGATATTCATACTTGTGTACAATTCGTATTTTGGCGAATGAAAATATTAACTGCTGACGCCACATTTTTTCTCATTTAGTTTTAAGGTGAAATTTGAAATGCAGCCACTTTACACTTGAGTGTTCGATTAAGGCCGGCGCACACTAGAGCTATGTGCTTAGCAAAATGTCATTCGTGACTGTTGGCGTAAGGAGATAGCTCTCGTGTGCGGGCGATTTACGAACGACTTTTGTCATTCGTGCCACTTACGCCAAATATCTAACATGTTTGATAATTTCTGCCTCGCGTGCCAAAATCTTTCCGTGTGCGGCGGACGAAAGCTATCTGCTTACGGATTGTCGTAACAGCGCATGCGTAGTATACGAAAGTAAACATCCAAGATGGCGGCGCAAAATGAATTGCTGGCCGAGGCAATTTTAGAGGACAAACTTGTCGAACTTTGGCCTGAATACAAATGTTTATACGATGTGAGTTCTGCAGTATAACAAAATAACAACACCTCTTCGTCTTTACATTCATCCATTTTGTGAGCTGTTCGCCATCTTGGATGTTTACTTTCGTATACTACGCATGCGCTGTTACGACAATCCGTAAGCAGATAGCTTTCGTTCGCCGCACATGGAAAGATTTTGGCACGCGAGGCAGAAATTATCAAACATGTTAGATATTTGGCGTAAGTGGCACGAATGACAAAAGTCGTTCGAGAGCTATCTCCTTACGCCAACAGTCACGAATGACATTTTGCTAAGCACATAGCTCTAGTGTGCGCCGGCCTTTACATACGCTAGAATACGAATCGTACACGACAAATCGCAGCGTGTAAATGTACCTTTAAGCCGGTTTTCCACTACAGGGTGAGTAAAAAAAAACTGATACCTTCGCGGCTAATTTGAATAACAAAGGTGTCAGTTTTTTTTTACTTACCCTGTAGTTGACCTGCACCGAAGGACTTACCATGCATAGCTTATATTCAGTTATGCAGATGTATTATGCAATAATCCAAGTTGTGACTGGATGGACCAGTTAATATGTGCTAACAACGATTAAAAACAACATGGCGGATCAAAATCACGAGCTCGTGTCTTGTTTTTATTTCTGCAAGTTGCACGCGCATGCGCAAATTTTCCTATTCAGGCGCGCTTGTTGTTTGCTCGCCGCACACGAGAATTTTTTTGTCACGAATGACGAAAAATATCAAACATGTTTGATATTTGGTTTACATGTCACCGGAATGACGAAAATGCCGTAAATGTTGCCCGCACACGAGGAAATTGTGTCGATCCATCTTGTCACGAATAACAAGTACGCGCGACAAGTGCGTACGTGTGCGGCGGGCTTAAAATGACTCAAAGCGACCTAAGTGAAACTATAATAAGAAGCAGACTGTTTGCACATGTACACGTATAATTATATAGTGATCTCCTTCTTTATGATACGAATACGATAACAGGTTGTTGGTTACTCCTGCCTCGGGTTTTGTAAATTGACACTCGATAAGGATTTGACCGGCAACCAATGAGCTATTTTGACCGATCGATGTTGTCGACCATGCCATATCAATCACGCATGCAGTTCCCATGGTAAAGAGCAAACTGCCAGTGCGTTCTGGATCTGCAAAACACTATGATCAGCTGGAATAATATAACTCCCTTGCCTGCCATGGTTTAGTTGTTCGGTTAGGTTGTTGGGAAACCGCTACAGTCTGGTCTAGAACTCCTCGAACGTTCACGCCAAACGGCATGAATTTTGGTTTATTGAGGTTGCAACTGATTGTAAGCAAATATAATCAGCACATGTCAAAACACAGAACATACGCCCGTATTCTAAAAGCTCACTCACGCTCACACTCAATGAGTGGAAGTTCAATCTGAACTTCTCTCGAGTGTCATTGCTGTTTTTGAATAGCTGAAGGGCTAGTGTCGTACCTTACTATGTGACTACTCACCTTCCAGCTATTCAAAAATAGCATCGACACTCAACATTGAACCTCCAATCATTGAGTGTGAGTGTCTGAGTGAGCTTTTAGAATACAGGCAATAGTTTAATCTGCACGTATTGTGATATGGCAATTGCAATTTGCATGTTATGATGTCTGATATATAATACTCATTGTCCTGTGTCGATGTTATTGAGTCAATTTGTTTGGCCAACAACATTTGAGCAATATATATGAGAATATTATTTTAGCAAAAGACCAAACTTGTGCCAAAACCCTGAAGACATTCACATATACATGTCATACAGTTAAAGAAGTAAATCATATGAAACGATCAAAGCATCGGAAATTGAATGATCAAAAATTCCTAAATCATGGAGATAGCATGGATTTAGTATGTAGAAACAAAGCATATTCATTTAAAAGACTCATGTGGGATTTGCCTTTGCAAATTCATATTCAAATGATCGACAGTAATTTTCTAAACATGTAAACTACATGTACAGGGTGTATAAAAAAAACGCAACTTCGGAATTTTTGCAAACAACCTTTGCAATTCTTAAGCATAAAAGATTTTAGTCCCCTGGGAATTGAAATCGAATTGCTAATAGATCATAATACTGTTGTTGTGCATTAAATAAATGCATAAATTTTCCTTTATGCACTCGCGTGTGCAGTAATTTTGACAGTTGTGCTATTTTAAATTCCCAGGCGCCTGAAATCTTTTGTCTTTAAAACAATGTCGATTTCTTGGGAAATTCCGAGGTTGCGTTTTTTTTTATACACCCTGTAGATGAAAGCTAAAAGAAGTAGGACATTAAAACGCCACCTCGCCAAGTGCGAAGAAACACATGACATTGTAGGGTCGTGGTCGTGGTAAGGAACTGTTGCTGCAGGTTGCTATCAAAGCAATTACTGGCTGATAAAATGATTGGAAAATATGCCCTAATGTTTTCAGGAGGGCGTTCAATCGGGCTTCAAGTCCTTCAACATTGCTCTCTTCCACTGACTCGTCAAAATCAGCATTTATAATCCAATGATAATTGATATATAAATAAAGAAAAGCACGTTGTAAATTGCATTGATGCTAAGCATAGAAAGATTCACAATAACCATGTTGTCATCCAATTCGCCTTTATTTAAAAACTCTTCTATCATTGCCAATGCATCACGAGTTTGAACTCAAATTTTAGCTTAGTTTTAACGTAACTGTTTTCAATTGTTTTAGCATATATTTAGCATTTAATAACTTGGAATTATTTTGTAATATCTTTGTAATTCAGCTTACGCTGCAAGGAAGAATTTAATAAACTACATATTATTATTATTACTATTATTATTATTATTATTATTATTATTATTATTATTATTATTATTATTATTATTATTATTATTATTATTATTATTATTATTATTATTATTATTATTATTATTATTATTATTACTATTATTAACATTGTCCGCGATTAGCCCAACTAAAACATTCAACATCCCCAGTTGGATCCCAAAATTTGCATCTCCTCAGACGCCTTTTAATCTTGACCCCCCGACCTATCAAGAGATTACAAATGTCATCCGTAAAATGAAACCGTCTGGCTCACCATGCCCACTTGATCAAATATCTATCATCTGTTTTAAACGCTGTCCTTATTTACGCTCGTACTTAACTGAGATAATCCACGCAGCCTGGTCTTGCGGTGTTGTCCCATCCGAATGGAAGAAAGCATGCACGATTCTAATTCATAAGAAAGCAGAAACAGCAAACCCAGCGAACTTTCGACCCATTACTCTCGAATCTGTCCCACTCAAAGTTTTCACATCATGTCTTCGCAACAGGACATTTCAGTTTCTTGCAGAAAACAATTACATTGAACAGAACATACAGAAAGGTTTCACTCCAAAACTCTCAGGAACACTAGAACACACAGCACAGTTGGCACATATCATTAATAAAGCGCGAGTAAAACAACGATCACTTATCATAACACTATTAGATCTCAAAAATGCATTCGGCGAAGTCCACCATATCCTTATTTATGAAGTCCTTGAATATCACCACATTCCAGATCACATAAAGAATCTTGTCAGTAGCCTTTATACTGATTTCCAAGCTTCCATAATAACTGAACAGTTCAATACTTCCTTCATTACAGTCGGTCGTGGCGTCCTTCAAGGCGATTGTCTCAGTCCTCTTTTATTCAACATGGCTTTCAATACATTTATCCAACATATTAAATCGGAAAAATACCGTCAACTTGGATTTTGGAAATCCAGCGAAAACGGTACCCCATTAAATCCTCTTCATTGGTTCCAGTTTGCCGACGACGCGGCTGTTGTTAGCGGCCAAGAAAACGAAAACCAAATGCTCCTCAATCGCTTTACAATCTGGTGTCAGTGGGCTGAAATGATAATACGTGTAGACAAATGTTCAACATTTGGCATTAGGAAACAATTAACCAAATCCATTCAATATCTCCCAAAACTATTTGTAAATAACTGTCTTGTACCACGTGTTGAACTTGGTAAATCATTTCGCTACTTAGGTCGTTATTTTGACTTCAACATGTCTGACGAAGACCACAAATCTGAAGTATATGACACACTTACTAATATCCTGAATGAAATTGATGATCTACCATTACATCCGAAAAACAAAATTCTCTTATACAGTCGTTATGTGCTTTCCAGAATCTCCTGGCACTTCACTGTTTCTGACATAGGCAAAACCTGGGACAACGATAAACTAGATAGTATCGCGTCCACTTATATCCGAAAATGGCTTGAACTGCCTATTTCTGCAACCCTTAGTAACGTCCTACTTCCCCACAATAAATTATGGATTAAATATCATTCTACCTTCAACCACATTCCTTCAATGCCAAACTGTTTCTCGGAAAGCCCTAAAGTCGTCGGCAAATGAAGCGATCAATAACCTTTGGAAGGATACTAGCAATCACAAAAATGTACAATATGACAAATGCAATAACACCAAGGACGTATTAAACACCATCAGGAAACAACATGAAGACAAGTTTCAACACCACCTCATTTCACAAGGCTCATTTTTCTCCAATATCATTAAACATTCTACACTCTTATTCAACTCTATATGGTCCTCCGTTCAGAGTAAACTTCTCAAGAATATATTTAACTTCACTATCCGGTATATAAATAACACTCTTCCGACTCGCAAAAACCTTCTGAAATGGGGAATATCACCAAAATCCGAATGTTCGTTTTGTTTGAATCCAGAATCGCTTCTTCACGTCGTCGCAGGATGCAAGACCTACCTAAATGAAGGACGTTTCACGTGGCGTCACGATTCGGTGCTTCATAGCATCCATACTTAAATCTGTGAACCATTGTAACCTCTATGCTGACCTTCCTGGCTATATCAGTCCATCTGTTCTCACCGGAGATGAATTGCGCCCTGATCTTTTGATAACACTTGAAAACAGATGTATTTATATACTTGAACTTACCGTCGGATTTGAATCTAATCTCTTCACTAATGCAACTCGAAAAAGACAAAAATATCAAGATCTAATTAACGAACAGCTCAAAAATTATGAAAAAGTAAAATTTGTAAATTTATCGATTAGCTCATTAGGAGTTTTCAGCCACCCGTCGCTAGATTTCTCCGAAATGCTGAAGGATCTAAAGTTTGATGAACAATGTAGAAAGTACTATGTTCGGAAAATTATTAACATATGTATCAGGTCCTCGTATTATATATTCTGTAAGCGTAACAAAGAATGGGATAACCCACAACTAATGTCATACTAATGTTGTTATTATGTAGAGTGTTAATTCAAGTAGACACTGGTAAACTACCTGTAAAGAGAGGTTTATCATTGTAGTGTATATATATATATATATATATATATATATATATATATATATATATATATATATATATATATATATATATATATATATATTATTGAAATAAATAAAGTTTCTATTATTATTGTTATTATTCCGAAAACCAACATCTATTAAATCGATTTTCTATCTGGTGCCAATGGTCCGATATGATTATCCGATTTGACAAATGCAGCGGTACCTTTGGCATTAACAAAGCGATCACAAAATCAGTTCAGTACTTGCCAAAACTCCTCATCAGCAATCAACTAATACCAAAAATCACCATTGGAGAATCATTTCAATATTTAGGACGTTACTTCGACTTTCACATGTCGAATGATAATCACAAAACTGAACTAACCACCCTACTTAATGAACTAATGTCTGATATTGACTCAAAGCCACTACACCCCAAAAATAAACTGCTCCTCTACGGTCGCTACGTCTTATCCAAGTTAGCCTGGCACTTTACCGTCGCAACGTTGCACTCTCTAAAACATGGGTTACTGAAAATATCGATTCTATTGCCAACAATTATATCCGCAGATGGCTTGAAGTACCAATATCAGGAAAACTAAGTACTGTCTTTCTAACAAATAACAAATTTGGCCTGAGTATTTATCCTCCATCTGTAAAATTTATCCAGTGTCAAATAGTCCTCCGAAAAGCTTTAAAATGTTCTCCTAGTGAATCAACTAACGACCTGTGGAAAGCAACCAGTAACCATACTAATATCCAATATGACGCTTATAACTCTACTAAGGAAGTTCTCAAAGATTTCCGTTCTGGACACGGAAACAAACTCCTAAACCAATTAATTTAACCAGTCAAGGATCCTTTTTCTGTAGCGTCACGAAGTTCGCTTTACCTCATCTTAACAAGGTGTGGTCCACCGCCCAATCAAAGCTCCCGAAAAACATTTACAACATTACCATTCGTTACATTAACAACTCTCTTCCGACGCGCAAAAACCTAAACAGATGGGTAATATCTTCAAATTCAGACTGTTCTTTTTGTCTTAGCCCTGAAACATTACTGCACATAGTAGCTGGATGTCAGTTTTATCTCGACCGAATTACGTGGAGACACAATTCAGTCCTGAACTTTCTTGCTCATACTTTACAAACTGTTGACGGTTCTACTCTCTACGCTGATCCAAATGGATTCAATAGCCCTTCAATACTTACTGGTGATATGTATCGCCCAGATTTCGGTTATTATCGTGCTCAAATGGTTCCTTATATGTGGTTGAACTCACCACTGGTTATGAGACAAACCTCAAAAACAACGTAAAACGGAAGAAGGATAAATATAGAGAATTATTGAGACAGCTAGGTAAAAATTTTAACCAAGTTAAATTTATAAATCTCTCTATCAGCTCTTTAGGTATTTTTGCAGAAGAATGTTCTACATTTTAGACATGTTAGAAAGTATTGGTCTTGACAAAAACCACCAAATGTACTGCGTTAGGAAAATGATGACTATTGCTATTAGAACTACATATTACATTTTTTGCTGCCGAAATAAGGAATGGGAAAATCCGGATTTACTAACAATTTGACTTATCTCATTGTATATATATATATTGCATGCACTTTGTTCTGTTATTTTAGTTTAGTATAATTGTGATTCAAATAGCCAACCGTAAGTTACCTTTATGAGAGAGATTTACGATTGTATATGTATGTAAAGAAAAACATTTAATAATGTTTCCATTATTATTATTATTATTATTATTATTATTATTATTATTATTATTATTATTATTATTATTATTATTATTATTATTATTATTATTATTATTATTAAACCTTCTGAAATGGGGAATATCACCAACATCCGAATGTTCGTTTTGTTTGAATCCAGAATCACTTTTTCACGTCGTCGCTGGATGCAAGACCTACCTAAATGAAGGACGTTTCACGTGGCGTCATGATTCGGTGCTTAACTTCATAGCATCCATACTTAAATCTGTGAACCATTGTAACCTTTATGCTGACCTTCCTGGCTATATCAGTCCATCTGTTATCACCGGAGATGAATTGCGACCTGATCTTTTGATAACACTTGAAAACAAATGTATTTATATACTTGAACTTACCGTCGGATTTGAATCTAATCTCCTCACTAATGCAACTCGAAAAAGACAAAAATATCAAGATCTAATTAACGAACAGCACAAAAATTATGAAAAAGTGAAATTTGTTAATTTATCGATTAGCTCATTAGGAGTCTTCAGCCACCCGTCGCTAGATTTCTCCGAAATGCTGAAGGATCTAAAGTTTGATGAACAATGTAGAAAGTACTATGTTCGGAAAATTATTAACATATGTATCAGGTCCTCGTATTATATATTCTGTAAGCGTAACAAAGAATGGGATAACCCACAACTAATGTCATACTAATATTGTTATTATGTAGAGTGTTAATTCAAGTAGACACTGGTAAACTACCTGTAAAGAGAGGTTTATCATTGTAGTGTGTATATATATTATTGAAAGTAATAAAGTTTCCATTATTATTATTATTATTATTATTATTATTATTATTATTATTATTATTATTATTACATTCCTGACGAAATCACTGGTATGATAGAAAACCTTTACACTGATTATGGTATCTCAATCTTGACGAAGAATTTTATAACCATACCGATATCTGTAGAACGGGGCGTACTGCAGGGAGACTGTTTGTCCCCCTTGCTTTTCAATTTATGCGTGAATTCACTCATTAACACGATAAATGATGAAAGGATACAGTGCCTTGGTTATGTTAATGATATATCCTTAAACCCTCGTCATTGGTTCCAATTCGCGGACGATGCTGCAATTATATCTGCACATAACGAAGACAATCAACTACTTTGCAATGCATTTAGTAAATGGTCCTCTTGGGCAGACTTATATATCCGAGTAAATAAGTGCCACACTTTTGGGATCAAAAAGTTTGGGACAAAAGCAGTCCAGTATAAACCTACTATAAAAATCTCTGGTCAACAGGTTCCCCCAATCGAGGACGGTGAAAGTTTTATGTATTTAGGTAAACAATTCAATTTTGAAATGGATTGTACTGAAACCAAAATTGAGATCCTTGATGAAATCCAACACTACTTAAAGAAAATTGATCTTATCCCAATAAATCCATTTTCGAAAATACGCGTGGTTCAAAGTTATGTCTACTCAAAGTTCTTCTGGCGTTTTTCAATCTACTCGCTTACTATAAGCTGGATACATTCTAATCTGGACTCTATAATTTCCAAATATATCCGGAAATGGCTCCAGATCCCAATCAGCGGTAACATTAGTCATCTAAAGCTTCCTAAATTACAACTGGGAATTGATTTCTGTTCCCCCTCTGACATATATAATCAATGTAAACTGACAGTGCGCAGAATCTTGAGGAGTTCTGTCAACTCCGATATTCAACAGCTATATACCAAAACGTCATCAAAAAACATCGTCATTGATGATATTATTGAACGGGCGGCTGCTAGTATCTCTGAACAATATATGTTAAGAAACGCTGCAAAGAAGATTCTGGTAAAGAAAAACCTTAACGAAATTTGATCAAACTTTGTAGAACTAAAAGAACAATCCGTGATCATTACCTGCTTAACTGATACTTGCTATAAGAAGATGATTAAAGTATGGCACGAAATTGTCACTCGAATGCCCAGCAATATAGTATGCTTTGCTAGGAGAGCGTTAATTTTAAGTTTAGGAAATAATTCTAACCTAAAGCGCTAGAACATTCGTGACTCCGCTAACTGTGAGCTGTGCAACAAGTTACAAACCCAGCTACACGTTTTTTCCAACTGCAAGGTAGCCCTAGAACAACAACGCTATACTTGGCGGCATGACTCGATTCTGATGACTATTATTCATCACTTAAAGTCGCAGTTGGTGCAGATCTTCGACTGTTTGCGGACTGTCCTAATTCAGGTACGACCTGTACTTCAACTTTATTTCGAACGCTAAGACCTGATATAGTGGTGGATTTTAAGGGTTCTGTATATGTGGTTGAATTAACTGTTCCCTACGAAACCAATTG